TTATTATTATTATTATTATTATTATTATTATTATTAGTACTACTACTACTATTATTATTAGTATTATTATTGCTTCTATTATTATTGTTGTTGTTTATAATTATTGTTTATAATTGTTGTTTATAATTTGTACAATTAACCTCCCTGTGGTTCGACCCCGGTCTTGCCGGGTTATTTATTACTTCGACACTCCTGCACTTGGGAGAAGACATCAATCTTTTAGTCGTGTCAAGTTTTTGGCGCCGTTGCCGGGGAGGTAAGTTCTTGTATAAATTATAGTATTTATTTTATTTTCTCTTTTCACTTTTCTTGTATATAACTTTGTTTCTTTTCTTTTGTTTCTTTTTATTTTGTTTTCTTCCTCCTTCTTTTGCTTTGTTGTTCTTCTTTTTATTTTATTCCTACACGTGCATGAGAGTGTGGTCACGTACATCAAGTGGTAGACTTTGTAGGGTATCCTCATCATTTTCAGAAAATATGGCCGAAGAAGATAATCAATCACTTCATAATGAGAATAATGAGAATAACCGTGCTAGAACACTTAGAGACCACATGAATCCCACAAGAACAAGTGCACCATCATGCATAGTTTTTCCTCCTGATGCATCTCATTTTAATTTTAAACCAGGTATTATTCAACTTTTACCTTCTTTTCATGGTTTGGAATTGGAAAATCCATACTTGCATTTAAGGGAATTTGAGGAGGTGTGCAACACATATAATAATTTAAATTGTAGCATGAACACCATCAGATTAAAGCTTTTTCCTTTTTCATTAAAAGATAAAGCTAAAACATGGCTACAAAATTTAAGACCAGGATCCATTCGTGCTTGGGATGAAATGCAACAACAGTTTTTAAAGAAGTTTTTTCCATCTCATAGAACAAACTCTTTCAAAAGACAAATCACTACTTTCACTCAAAAACCAGGAGAAACATTTTACCAATGTTGGGATAGGTATCGAGACTTGCTTAGTACTTGCCCTCATCATGGTTTTGAAACATGGAGATTGGTTTCACATTTCTATGAAGGGTTAACACCTAAAGATAGGCAAATGGTTGAATTGATGTGCAATGGAACTTTTGAAGATAAAGACCCTGATGAAGCAATGGAGTACTTAGACTTGTTAGCTGAAAATGCTCAAAATTGGGACACCGCGGGTACTTATGAGGCACCGAGTAAAACTCAACCTCATACATCTAGTGGAGGTATGTACAACCTTAGGGAAGATCATGACCTTCAAGCCAAGTTTGCATCTTTAGCTAGAAAAGTCGAGGCACTAGAATTGAAAAAGAGTGGTCAATTAAAATCTGTTGAAAACATTGTGTGTCAAATCTGTGAAACAAATGAACACTCAACCAACGATTGTCCAACCTTGCCTTCTTTTAAGGAATGTCTCCATGAACAAGCCCATGCTTTAAACAGTTTCCAAAGGGCCAACCACAACCCATACTCCCAAACATACAACCCTGGTTGGAGAAATCATCCAAATTTCAGTTGGAAGAGTGAGAACAACAATGCACAAACTTCACAACCACAGTTTCAAGCACACTATAATTTCCAAAATTATCATGGATATGCACCTCCTTATGCTCCACCTCCTACAAGAAATTTTGAGGAAACTTTGTATGCATTCATTGAAAAGCAAGAGATAATCAACAATCAACTTGCTCAAAGCATAACAGATTTTAAAGATACTCTTGCAAAATTCACATCTGCTCTCAATTTTCAAGAGCAAGGTAAGTTTCCATCTAAACCACAGCAAAATCTCAAGGAGCAATACAATGCAAATGCAAGTAGTTATGGAAGTCAACACATGGATCAAGTCAAATCAGTCATCACTTTGTGTAGTGGTAAGGTTATTCAAAAACCAATTCTTGAACCTTGTGAGAAAGATGATGAGTCAACCTCTAAGGGTAAGGAAGGGGTTGAATATGAAAATTGCAAAGAAACGACTGATTCTTCGCCAGCACTTTCATTTTCTCATGCCATGACCAATCAGGAAGAAATCGAGGATGAAAAAGGCACCGAAAAGGTTGATGCAGATCTTTTATCAAAAGTGACAACAGATTCGACACCCGACATCATATCAATTGATGATTACTTTCCTGATAAATCTCTACTTTCTCTTAGTTCAATGCCTTGGTTTGCTAAAAATATCAATTTCCTTGCTTCAGGATTTTTGCCAACTCACTGGAGTATTGAAGATAAAAGAAAATGTTTGAGCAATGAGCAAAATTTTTGTTGGGATGACCCTTACTTATTCAATTATTGTCCTGATCAAATATTAAAAAAATGCATTCTCGACAATGAGGTAAGTAATTTCATTAAATTTTGTCACTCTAAGGCATATGGAGGTCATTTCTCATAAAAAAAGAGGATTGTAGAAATCTTACAAAGTGCATTTTACTGGCCCATCATATTCAAGGAGTCAGATGCATTCTGCAAAAACTGTGAAAATTGTCAGAAGGTGGGATTTATTTCAAAACACAGAGAGTCTTTAGATAATCTTCTATTGACTCTTAAATCTCATCATAGTCGAGATAAGCATCGTGCAATTCATGACTTATGAACCCATTTTTATAAAGAACATACTTGGCATAGTCTTGGGAATCTGACTAAAAAAGACCATGTTTGCCAGTTTTTAAGAAAACTGGATGGGAAGCCTATCCCCGACCCATTGAGGGCGTTTAAGCTGTTCTTGGACGTAAAACCAAGAGAAGATGTGAGCCACAATCACAACTGCGATTTGAATTTTTTTTTGTTTGTAAAAACTTGTGTCTTTTGGTTTTCTTATTGTGTTTTGTTATTTCTTATTTTTGTTTCAGTGTGTTTCAGGTTTTGTCAGTGTTCGTTACTTCAGGTGATATCTTCTATACTCTATCTTTCTACCTTAGAACATTGAGAACAATGTTTCGTTTCGGTTGGGGGGAGAGGGTAGTAGTTGATAAAAAAAAAAATTGTTTTTCATTTCATAAAGCATATGCAACATTGTTGTTACTAGGATGGCGGAGTAAAGGAACTCTTTTGTTAAAGTGACTCTTGA